AATCATAGGCACCGTATACGGAATGAGAATCGCGGTGCAACGACGTGAGATCGATCCTCTCTCGATTCGCACACGAGCCGTCGTCGCATCGTTATTTTCATTCATTCACAGAGTGCCAATCGACGTCTTTACAATTTATTAATCGAGTCTCGACAGATTCGATCCTTCCTAAAAAAAGGTGAAAAAATCCATGGATCGTTGAAGATTATTCACACGATTAATCTAACGTAATTTAAAATGAAAGGGTTATAAATATACGATACGAATACGAACATCTTGATCCGATCGATATCTGATTCTGGCTCTTTTGAATTACATCATTTCGATGCGCGCGGCAAGGTTACAAGAGTGCGAGCGTGTGCAAAGTACGATTCACGGATTACGACTTACGCCCACGTCCACGATTTTTATCACCGGCGAGAAAAGAAGCACGTCTGTATGTGCAATGTAAATATCTCGCATAGCGATGTGAGAGATTGTTCCTCGCATATATATTCGAGAGCGTGGAAACGAGATCTTCGCGTCGAGGATACGCGCGTGTATTCTCGTTTTCGACCTTCATCGTGATCTTTCGATCGTGACTGCAACGTTCGGAAGATGCAATATATTCCGAGAAAATAGATCGATTAAAGATTAAATGCATGCAAGGCATGCAAATTTGCTACGCGATTGCTCAAGTTTCGTCGAAGACTCTAGGGATGATTCTAAAATTTTATTTTCGCACAAAGTTGCAACGAGCCAAGGAAGAAGTTAATCTGGGTGTAAGAAAGATTTTATAATCAGCCAGCGAGATTTGTTATTGTTACGAAATATTTGAATTATTATCGATTTTCTTTTGAATTATTTGGTTTAAATAAATCAAAAAATTTTTCTCCAGTATCTTGTTGCGCGCGAGATTATTATATTTCTACTGTCTCAAGATACACACTCGGATATATGCCTGCGAAAGGATAAATATACAATTACACACGCGTGTATATCTGGTCCTCGTGAGGAGAGAATCGCGTTACATGCTGACGCAAGCGAAACCGCGGTCTCACCTCGCAATTTCGCGGCTTTTTAACGACATGCGCCGAATTAGCGACCTGAATTAACGTCTCTACGTGATTTTGCTTTCCGATGAACTGCGTAATAAAAATTTACGATGACACGACTTGGCGAAGTGATTCGTCGCGACCGCGCGAAAGGGAAGACGGAGGAGAACCCCGACTTCCGACACGTGTTTACGATATCTCGGCGCCGCCTTAAACCGGTTAGAAGTTACACTGCAGTTAATTTACTGACAAAGTGACGAGCCATCGCGAGTAAAGAGAGAGGACAGAGAAGTGTCTTTATGACGTAGTCGCGCCGCCCCAAGTTAAGCGGTAATAAATCCGCATACACGCTCGTCACATTACACGAGTTACAAAGTCAATGTCGCGTCGTAATTCGCATCTCGTTTGCGCGCGACAACATACAGGATTCGGAGAAAGTCATTCGAAAGATAAACCCCCGCCGGACTTAAGTTAAACGATAATAAAACCGCATGCGAGTAAGTTCTTTCGCGAATTACAAGTCAATATCCGCGTCGTTAACTTATACTTCTCGCTCTATCCGATGAGAAGACGTTTTTACCGCTCATCCGGAGAAAGGCAAACTCCTCGTGAGAACGGAGAAGATCGCGGAGTGAGAAAAAAAAATAGAATAGGTGACGTGTCAATGTTCGCGAAGAATTACGCGGATACAACACCGATGGAATTGGCGGCTAACGGGATTTCTTGTACGCTGCCTACGTATAGCGTAAAACGAGATTACGTCTGTATGGATTAGGACGAGGAGCGATGATGAGAACGCACATTATAAAAAAAAAAACTGACTGAAACTTCAGACAAAGTGTCTGCAGGTTTTTTTCACGCGAGATCTTCTGTCTAAATTTTCAGAAAAATGACTCTGATAATTAAGATAGATTGTCTGAAATTTCTTTCAGATCCCGATCTGAAAATTCAGACAAAAATGTGTCTAAGTTTTTAGAAAACTGTTTACAGTGCAGAAAGGGAAAATTCATTCGCGTCCTATTCTGTATTTTCCGAATATTTATTTACTCAACATTTTTTTCAACTATCCGATATCACGTTTTTTCCGATAAAATCGAAAGCGACGAATGTGCAAACATGAACCGTGACGCTTCTCGCAATTTACATGTTATTCATGCGGATTTCATTACGTCGTAATTATACAGCCGATAACTTTTTGACATTTGCCGCTTTTTAAATCGAGCAATGTTCTTGTAATTTCTAATGCGTCTCTCTTGGGGACCGGCAGATGAAATCATGAATTCCTCCGGAAAATTTTTATCTTAAAATTTTCATCAGATTACACTCTTATACAAATTTGTCTTTTTAAATACATTTTATATAAATACGAACATATAACGCACGATTATTTATTCGAGGATTACGACGATGCGTGCGAGTGTACGCGACCAAAGAGAAGCAACGTGTGAGATTAAAAAAAAAAAAGGATACGCGAACTGGTCTGAAAGGATTATCAGCCGCGTCGAATCTTTCTGACAATTGTAGCGATGCCATCGTGACAATAATGCGACCGACAATGACAACTTCCGCGGTACCGTGAACAATGTGGAGCGGAAGAACGTTTTGTCAGTGTGGAGAACGTTTGATGTGACTGGTGTGCGCGAGATGGAATATCGATAAATGAAACATACCGTGCATATATAAGTCACACGATATATCTCTCATCAATCTTGAAATATCAATATGACGAGAATTAATTGCGCGGGTAACTGAATATGAGATATACGTAATATATAGGCAGAATATATTTGATGATTAGAGATAAATAAATTATTTAGCTACGTGAAAAATAAATAAAAAATTAATTCTCTCCGAACGAAATCTCTTAAAGACGACGAAATTAATCCTTTTAAGTTGTATCGCGCGTTAATTCTCTCCGCATCGACCTTAATGTTCTTCTTTCGCCCGCTACCACTTGACACTACCGTTAATTAACATCGGGGACGACATTTCAATTACTATCCCCATGTTGTCGTAGTTCTCCCCGATAAATCATCATTAATTCTCTATCCATTACGATATCATGCGCGGTACTACGGTATTGCGGAACGATATTACGATAGGTCACGCACGTTTCCACTCCGCGAAACTTTTCTCTGACGAGAGAAAAAATCGATATATTATACTTTCTCTTATAATTTATCCCTTATGTCATTTCACATGTATCCGCTATCGATTAATTTGCAAACATGCGAACGAAACAAGCGACCTTCAGAGATATCGGACTTTGCATCTGCGAATTTAGAATCCGAATGTAGAAAAACCGGTTTATTTCCTCCTTTCTTGCGAAAGATCGTTTGACGAAAATGACGAAAACAAAAATGTTCCTTTTTTGTTCCGATTCCGTTTTTATGCGGAATCGTCCCTTCATTTTCGTCTTACAATTTTTATTCTCTAACGAAAATATTTAAATCTATTTGATAAACTCACCTTTTGAACGAGATATTTGTAAATCTACTTCCCTAACATCCATTCATCGATCATCCTACAGCAGGATCTTTCGGAATCTTTTCCGAAAAAGAGTTCTTCCACGCCTAGAATACGATGCAAAAAATCGAGCGGTATAAAGTAACTGTGTTATCGTGTTAAACGGATACGGCACGAAATCGTTTACGGTTACTCGAAGTCGATATACTTGATGGAAACTTATTATTTGTCGGATTCAAGGATATGAGCTCACGAAACAAAAGATGCCGCCGTAAAAAAGGGTGCGAGACGAGAAACTGCGTCTCTCGAATTACCGTCTATCAATCCGCAAACTTCATCACCCGCTTATTACGTGTCGAGCGAGCACTTACGCAACACGGTGTCCTTATTAGACGCAGTAGCCGTGTCGGATGCGTTTTAACGCTACCTTCGACTTGTCGCCGTATCAAATCGGACGGTTTGGGATTCGCAGAATTTTCGCCAGCAAGTTCTTTTCTCATCGTTACTTTAAAATAATCATTTTTAATCGAAATATTTATCGAAATTAATTTCAAACTTCTTTAACTCGTTTCCGTCCGTTTAGGATTATCGCGAGAAATAGACGACGTTAGATGAACGTTACGATTTTTTTTTCTTTTTTTTTTTTTCCTCGGAAATATGTTATCGAATTTGCCCTCAGGAAGGAAGGGACTTTAAGGAATTGTAGAATTTTTCTCGTACGTTAAAACTCGCGGAGTTTTCTTTTCGCTCGTTTCTCGCCAGACTAACCGAAGCGAAAACACGAAACCAAGAGCAAAACCGAGCCGGGGTCCAGTTATACTCGTGGAAAGAATGAGAGCGAGAAGGGGGTTCCCGGTGTTAAAGACACGCTCGGCATAGTAAGCGGAAACGTAATCACAAAGCCCGAGGGGCGGCGGCTAGGGAGTTCCTCTCGTTGCGTTACGTTACGTTACAAAACTCGCGTTTCTGTGCGTCTGTATTTTTTTTTTTTTTTTTTTTTTTTTTTTTTCGTGGGGTGTGTGTTTTTTTTTTTCGCGATCGTAATGTGCAATCAGATAGGGGGAAGTGCGCCCTGTTGCGTGTAATCACCGGAAAATCGCGCGCATTTTTTGCATAGCTCGGTCATGTCAGCGGTCATCCTTGGCAGAAGAGTGGGGAAACCAGAGAAAAAGTGTGAGAGAGATAGAAAACAATATTTAACTCTTCGCGATCCTATATCAAAATCATTCTCCGAAGCAACGCGAGATTATAATTATTAAATAACATTTTTAGAATATCGTTATCAAAAAAATTTCCACTTATATCAGAAGCTAGATCGATAATATTAGAATAAAGACAAGCTATTTTTTAATATTGTCTTATTCGTCGCCTTATTAATTCGGATTGCAAGAGGACTAAAAAGCATCGCTGCATAAAAGAATTTTATTCTACATCATGTGTTACTGACTCCTCGGCCAATTAACAGCGGTTTAAATTACATACTCTCTTCACATATTGCAGATGCTTCGGCAAAGGAACTGTCACTTCGCCCTGGGATTGCTCGGCTGCGTCATTTTGCTGTCGACGACTACCGCGGACAATAGCGTCCACATACTATCGAAGTATACTCATCAATTGATTACCTCGACCACTCTCAGGTGGCTGCCGGTGGCGCATTACAACCCGAACGAATCCAAAGAGATAGTCATCGGTGGCTTCGAGAATATATCAGATGGCGAAGGTGCGACATTTTTATCACAATGCGTCGTTGCGTGTATCTTCAGCTGTACAACGTCACATTGCTATTAGTGTGGAGACGGAGGATGTTACATTTGTTTGTAGAATTAGATCATCCGAATTAATACCAATTATTCTCACGTCACATTAATATCGGAATATTGCTTTATACCTTGAGGAAGTCGATATGGTCGATCAGGAATTCTAGAGATATTCGGGAAGAATAATAATAATGATATTCTCATACACAGATGAAACTTACGCCAATCAAGCGGAGAAACCGGAGGCGAGGAGACGACCGCTCTACGTGTGCCGCGCGATGCACGGCAGCGTCTGGGTAGCCGGCACGCAGAAGGACAAGGAAAGGGTCTGCACGGTGACGACATACGGCGTCGTGCAGTCGTACGACAAGTACGAATTGCTGGAGAACATCGACGGGGCCGCGCGTATCGCATGGGTTACGTATCTGCAGCCTCACATGGGCGCGGTGTACGTCAACAGCAAGACGCTGATCGCCCGACACATGGTCCCCAAGGACAAGAACGAGCCGCGATACACCCATTACATCGGCACGCTCAGCTCCGAGAACTTGGGCACCATCATCTACGTGAACGAGGTGAGCTTTTTTGCGTGAAAGGTACCTTAATAATAAGGTTTCGATAATAAGGATTGATGAAAATGTCTCGAAGAGACCTCGGGAGAGATGCTTACGGCGAACAAGCCGTCATCGTTTTAATGGCGAGGCATCGAAGTAATCAACTTGTGCATCGAGACTATTTAATATTCGATTCTTCTTTACAGCATGGCAAGGAGGAATCCGCAAAGTCTGGTGATCTATTGGTGGAGACCGAGCCAATCCGTTACGAGCTGAGCGCCGTTAAACTCAACTGGCCTAAGAGGCGCGATGTTAAACCACGCATATCACGCATACTCAGCAACGTGACGATCACCAATCATGGAGAGGAACCGTCATCCTTGGCGGAAGCTTGCACATATACGTACAAGTATGCGGTCTACTGGGGTCGTAGGCACGCCATCCTTAGCGGCCTTAGCACCACGATCACGCTGGCTAACGGCACGTCCTTGCCAAACATAACGTGGGGCATGCGCGACGAGGAGAATCGCACGGAGGCCTACAAGTGAGTATCTGTCTCTTCAGCTGTTGATCTCTCTCTATCTCTCTCTCTCTCGCAAATTGAAACTTTTTCACGGATATTCGAAGATAAAACAATCTACTTTTGACGAGAAAACATAAAGAAATACGGGGAGATCGATGTTGAAGCGAATAAGTGTCTATTTAACCTTTGGCTTTTAATAAATTTTATTCTCTCTATCTTCGTCATCGAGCTTCGCTTACGATAACGAAGCGTGGAACAATCCTTGACACGCTATTGCGCATTTAAATAGATTGAAGAAAATAATCCCGAGGATTCATGATACGAAGCAATGTTACGTGACATTCAGTTGGTTAAAAAAAAACTCGAACGTACGATTTTTACGACGGTATCCGTAAAATCTCATCTCTATAATTAGATATAATTAGAGCGCGGGCTTATTCCGCGTAGCCGTCTCTCTCCCCCGTAGATGGCCCCTCGAGGCACTTTGTCGCTTCCTGTACATCATTGAAGCTCTCGCGCGCGGCGGACATGAGACTAGAGTGCATTTTGCGACTTCATGCTACCCTTCCAGCTCGATGTGCCCTAGAATACTCCGCGGCTTAAGTGACGCTTCGACGCAACGCAATTACGATGTCCGTGCATCAGATCCGCGCTCCAGTTGCAGCATTACGCGATAAACTAACGACGTATCTGCTTCGAATCTCGTACTTGGAAAGAGAACATAAGTTTTTAGGCCAGTTATAACGGTACTAAAATTGAATTGTTCCATAGAAGGATAATACAACAATGCGAAACATATATGTTGTATGTGTTTTATAATTGGATGGCTAATTTTATGGACATGTGTATTTATCAACTCTGAGAATTCTATCCTAGCTGTTATAGACAGGTTTTCCGTGAAATAAAATTTATTGATCCAAATTAGATCGAATCCGAAGAATCTGACGCATCTGTTACAGCGTGCAAATCTTCCTGGAGCCCGGCACGGGCGTGAACGTGACACTGAGGGCCAATTACACGGATACGGAAGTGCCGTACACCGCAACGTTGATCTCGCACTACGAGGACGGCGCGACGATGTCGCGCGTGATCAGCGGCACTCGACAGGAGGAGACTCTGCTCGACATCGTGCCGGAATTTGGACCCATCTACTTTCTGAGCAATTACAGCGTGGTGCCGACCACTGTACCACCGCCTACCACGACCGAGCCGCCGACCACGACGATCGCGGCGACAACGACGATGCAGCCGCAGGAGACGACGCACCGACCTCGGCAAATGGGCAACGCGGTGGACTCGGTGGACCATGACGAGAATCTGATCGTGCCGCCGAAGAAAATAGACATATCAACGAGCATGCAGAACGACGACGGCGGCCCGTTGTCTCTCAAGAACAAGGGAGATTACTCCGGCGTCGCGTGCGCGAAGTCGAGCCTGTTGACGCTCGTTATCTCGCCGCTGCTGCTATTGATCCTTCATAGAATCACGTGAAGATCCGATCATTACGCGCTACCTCCTTTAATGTTAATTTCCTAAATCCTCCCCTCCCCCCCCCTCCCCCCCATCTGCAATAGTAATATATAACCCAGTAGACGTACCGAAGGAAACAAAAAAGATTAAAAAATATTTAAAAAAGAGAAAATAGAAAAAAAAGAATATACGCGGATGAGAGTATTGCTGTAATTTCGTATAATAGCGATTATAGCGTGTACGATCCCCCCTTATTTGAACACGCACTCGCTGAATCACGTCGGCACCGCGATGCTGATATATGCTTGCCTTTAAAAAGAAACTCGATATATAATATATATGATACACAAATATCTCTATATTATTATACACACGTCTTAGGGTAGCACAATAAGAAAGATGCATCTTCGCGATTGAAGGATGAGCTAAGTCTCGATGATGAGTCAAGTACAAGAACGAGATCGCAGCGATTATCGATGCGTTGTTTGGATTAACTTGGCTGCGAAATGTTTATCCGTTATGCCGTTGAACAGCTGATCGCTGTGACACAATGTGACATTCCGTCTTTTTCTAATCCCGCTGTGAGTCGTGACTTTCCAACTATAATGTATTATGTCCTATGCCTTTGCAAAGTGTATTCTATAGATCCTTTAGGAAATCCTAATCGCTTCAAAAGATGACGGCACATTCTTTAAGGATTATTATGTCTAGGGGAAAAAAAAAGAAAAGAAAGAGCTATACAATCGCCGCGAATAATATCTTGGATAAGTAGTGGCGTAATATAGCGTTGGAAGGTAAAGTAAGTAGAAGTTAAGCACAACAGAAGAGAAAAAAAGCAAGATACGCGAGTTGATTCAGCTACGATATATTTTTGAGAGATTGCCGATATAATTTTAGACGATTGTAAAATTTATAAGGATAGCAAGTAAGAGAGAAACGTATAGGGAGTGTAAAAATGAATGGGTACACTAATTCTCGCAGTACTAATTTGATCAAATTCTAGCTATATTACAGCGAAACGGTGATTGTGCAAATCACATTATTTAATATGCAATAACACAATAATTATTTTCTTTTGGCTTTAAAAGAGCAGGAACAAGTATGATGTACGATTCGTATGTACCCATTTCTTGCACTCTGTAAAGTAATAGGATATCTGCAAATATCCTAGAATACTGTTGAGAAAGATTGTAAGCGAAAAGATGAGGAACCACTGGTATATAAAATAATTGAAATTGTTAAGATATATATATTTCTTAACAATTTCTTAATAAGAAGATAGAATATTTTGATACGTATGCGAAATATAAAATTATTGAGTTTGGTGTTTTGTGGAAAGATTTTTTTTGTTTACTCGAAAGATTAGGAGAAGAGACGTATCATTTTTTATACGCGATTGCGTTACCAGCGTTTTTACCGAAAAAGTTTCTATATGTATATAATATGTATTTCTATATGATCCTTGATAATTGTAATTGTGTAGTGAGCTTATTTATATAATATGATTTATAGATATTTTTTTTCTCTATCGATAAATAGAGCGTTACAACTACAATTCTTACATATATTTTACTATTAACCGACATAGGATTAGCGCGATACACTTATTTCGGATTAACGGGTGCTTTGTCTCCGTATTTATAACGACGTTTATCGACGTCTAAACGCCTAATCAACCACACTTGTTGTGATATTCAATAAAACTTTATGTAGACACAAAACAAAAAGAGAAAAGAAAGCACTCTCTGTTGAACAATTCGTTAATTATTAAAAAAAGCAATAATTTGTTGCGAGATGAAGAAAGACTTGCAAAGTGTTGCGAAAAAGAGAATAAAAGCGACGATAGAAAAATTCAAATATAATTTGTAATATCCCTATGCGCGAACGATATTTCTTCAATGTTCCACAATGAGTAAATGAACATGACGTAAGTACGAAGCAGCGTGCAACGTGCAAGGCAACGTAAATTCGAAGAAGGAAATTGTACGAGTTTATACGATACAAGATCGTAAATCTATTGCTTCTTGACAATTTATCCTATACACCGATAGGCAGAGACGTAAATGTCTTAAAAAAACTAGCTATCGACTTCGACAAAGCCAAGAATTATTCTAAAAATATCTATATTTGATGCAGATGTATTATTTGTGAATATGCTGCTGTATTGTACATTATCATGTAAATATAAATACTATGTACATATAAAAATTCTCATTCTATTGACAGCAATGCTGCCAATTCCTTTCAACTGAGTAAACAAATTGTTTAATGCAAAAATATAAGAAATTGAATACATATTTTCTTATAAAAATTAATTACAAGAAAGCTGGATCTCCAGTAATATCAAGAGATAATAAAAGTATACAATATCTATCACTTTACAATGTTTTACATTTTTTGACAAGCTTTCTATAAGATTGCTTAAATTTCTTAAAAATTTTATGTTGTAAAAATATTTGCATTTGCTAAATCTACACTTTGTTTTTAAAAAATTGCAAAATAATTATAGATACAAATCAAATAACTTTACAAAACAAGACTTGATATAAGAATTAGATGCTGGTTATTTTTCCTATGTGCGAAACGTGTTTATCTAAATATTATTAATAAATTTCAGAGAGAGAGAGAGAGACTCACCAAGAACGCCATATTGCTGCGGAGTAAGTCTTACATCGTCATCTGGACCTCCTAGTACAGAAGAAATGAGCGATGCACGATCACTGATATGACTTCTAGTACTGGCTTCGCTTCTTCTTGCCCAAGATGCTTGCGACAGTACATCTATATATTTAGCACAATGTAAATAATATTGCTTATATTACTTTCTTCATATAATCATTAATAGCTTATAAAAATATTCGTCCAAATTATGTTTAATTTTATAATTTGTGTAACGTGATAATATTACAAAAGTATTACCAAAATTGGAGTTCTTAGCGTTTGCTAATCTTGTTTTGTAATCTCTGAAAAGTCTTCTGGAAGGTGGAAGAGGGTGTCTTCGTCGTCTCTTCAAGAACTGTGCCAATCCTCCTAATAGTATTGAACCACTAGCAAAGCAGATGATAAAAATCTAAAACAAAAACACACTATTTATAAAAACAATTAACAAGATTTATACTTTTAGGTGAAATAGATCCGCATTATAATAATAAAATTTTTACGCGATAATTACAAGTAACTATGCAATTCTTTTCTTTTATATCATTATGTAACGAGTACAAATAATTATGGTATTTGCTATAACCTTGAAGAACTGACAATTCACTCTTACCTTTTGCGTACGAGAAAAGTGTATCGTCGGTAACGAGAACATGTAACGTTGATATAGCGTACTGAAGAATTGTCGCACGTTAAAAAGAGACATTGTCATTCACTTTCTATTATAAACAATATTAAACCAAAATTCACGCGCGCGTGATGAACCGGTGATCGCGGACTCAAAGAGCGAGAAAAACAGCTTGTGAAAGCTCTTTCGCGTGGAAGCTGCCATCTGCAGAATATTACAATAAATAGATTGAAAGAACTTCGATAAAATAGGTTTGAAAATTTCTTCTCTCGAATTACATATAATAATAATAATGACATATAAAAATAATAATTACATATAATAATTACTATAATTTAGAAAAAAAATTTCAAGGAACATATTAATGCTGTGATGCTTATCTAAACTTTCATCTGAGGGAAATAGATCTTTATTTTTTTAACATAATAAAGTTTTTTTTTTATAGAAAATAGAAAACATTTAATATAGTCATTACACAATCAAGCAATATCATCCCAATTGCAGGAATCGAAATATTCTTCATCAATTTCGAGTAATTGTTTAAAATCGTTTGTGGAGGCAGATGCTTCTGAAACTGAATCATTCTTTTCTTCCTGTGATTGCGACTGCTCTCCTGGCGATAAAGAGATATCCATAAAGGAAGTCAGATCTTGTTGTCCATGTTCTTTCTGTGCCGTGATGCCAACATTGTCTATCGATAAATCTTGATCGAGACCAGCCGCATTCAGAACATTCAATTTCTTTTTTATCAAAGGCCATATGTAATCGTCTGCGGTGTTTTTCGCCACCAAGTATTGGATTATAACGTTATCGTTTTGCCCGATTCTGTGCACTCTGTCTTCTGCCTGGCATAAAATCTGAAATAATTTTACACAATTTCAAATAAAATATATATCAATATATTATATATATATTATATCAATATGTGCTTGATAAATATTAATTACACCAGGGTTCCAGAATAATTCAGTAAAGACCACGAGATGCGCGGCCGTTAATGTAACACCTGCGTTTGCAGCAGTAATTGATAAAACTGCTGCCAAGTAATCATCCCGTTCCTGAAATTTATCGATCTGATGTTTTCTCTGCTCCGGATTAGTTCTGCCATCTATTCTTATATATCTGGTAATTTCCACCATTATAATATAAAAAATTATGAAAGAATTAAATTTTTCATAAGTTTAGATATGAGAATATATAAATATATGTTATTTAAATAAAAATAAAAATATATGCGCCCTAATTACCGCGCCTGGCTCTTATTGCCTTTCTTATCTTGTTATATTCAGACGAGCCTTATAATTGTATTATTATATAAATATAGATTATATTGTTATATAAAAATAAATTTACAATTATAAGTACTCACTTTATCTTCATAGATTCAGCAACGTTGCAAATGGCATCCAAAATATTTTTATGATGAGCGTACAAAAGGCATTTCCTCTTATTTTCAAATAAAGTGGTAACGTAATTGCTATAATCAGTGTTAAAATTGTTGAAACAGATTGCTGATATATTTTTGAGGAAATATAAATATACTGTATATTTACATATATACATACCATACTGCTTTTAGTCTTGCAAAACTAGATTCGGTATAATATTGCAATAAAGTACTTTGCCTCTCCAAATTTGTAATATTTGCCTGTAATTGTTTTGACATCTCGTTCATTCGCTTACGACTTTTGATCAAAACTGGATCTAAAATAATCACTTGCCTAGAACATGCAGATATAAAAAATACATGTATATTATATAAAACTCTTTTGAAATTATTTATATCGCAAAAATGTTTTCTCTCAAAACCTTATCTTAGATGGCAACTGGTTTAACACATCAGCTTTCAACCTTCGAATCATGCAAGTAGCCTTTAACAACAATTGTAATTCTTGCATATTTGAGGAACCTGTAAAGTCCCATCCAAATATATTCCTCTGCCCTGCGCAGTATCGTATACCATAATCTTCATACCTGCAAGATAATGCCTCTAATAAAGATCTGCACATATATAATATTTAATATATATAAGTATTTATATAAAATATTTCATTGTTGCCTTAAATACCTTATAAAACGTGGTAAAATCAGATTGATTTGAGAATGCAATTCAATTGGCCTTGACAAAGCCGGAGTCCCAGTGAGCAGTACAACATGACGTGCATGGGCACATATCCGTTGAGCAGCTTGAAATCTAGCAGTCTTATTACTCTTCAACACGTGAGATTCATCCTGTGTGATTCATTCACAAAGTAAAATAGTAGCAATGTTTGTGTTACCAATTTGTTAAATATATAACATACCAGAATAACAAATCCAAATACATATTTCTCAAAAGTATCTACAGCTCGCACTAATAGATCGTATGAAGTTATAGTGATTTTATCATCTCCAATACAATCTCTTGCATTTGCGAAATGATGAACATAATGCATAGGTATAGATGGTAAGAATTGATATATCGCTTCAGACCACTGATACCTAAATGAAAAGTATTTTTATAACATCGACATTTTTTCATTATGTTTATCATAGAACATTTACCTAACTGATGACGGAACTACAATTAAAAGTGGCCAACTTTCTTGAAAGTAATGTGCTATGCCTAACGCTTGTATAGTTTTCCCCAATCCCATATCATCTGCAATCATGCAACGACCACCTTTTGATATACCAAAACTGGAATAAATTTATTACATGTCAATAAAGGTACATATAGAAAAAAAAAAAATATATATATATATATATTACTATAAAGAAAATTTACCAGATGCCATCTTGTTGAAACGGCATTAAACAGTCTGTTAATTTTTTATCAATTTTTGTTAGATCTTGTTTGAGTATATTTTCCTGTTCTGACTTTAAGCTTTTTTTAAATATCTAAAATAAGAATGTTTTTAAAATCTATGCTCTTATATTTATATTATACTTTGCATTAATATATTATCTAATTACCTGCAGAATAGTCTGTGGTATTCTTGTAACAGATATATTAGGCTCATGATGCATCAGTTTCTCCATTAAACTGTCATAATCGTTGATATGAAAATTCCATGTTCTAGATTTTACATCTAAAAAATTAAATTTTCAAATAAATATTATAAATGTATATATTAAGTGCACATTTGCATTCAAGTTAATCACAATTACCATATGCTCTACTTGGTAATGTTTTGAATGTTTCAATAATTGCAGGTACAAACGAAGATGTTTCTAACGCAAATCTTTCATTGCTAATCATATAACATTTGCCTGTTAAAACCGAAGTTCGACTAAAAAAGTTCTTTGCTTCTATAGGATTGAAACGGTTATTCGATTTATTTGGTCTCAAAACGTTTGTACTATCGTTACATCTTAGTTGTTGTATTGGACTATTTGTGGGTGTAGTTTGTGTTTTCAGTTGGGCTTGTTGCCTCCTTTGCAATGCCAACAAACGCTTCTTTTCAATTTCTTCAGGCGAACATTTTTTATCTACGAAAAAGGCAATTTTTTATTTTTGACTACTCTAAAATTTTATTCCATGAAGAAAAAATAATCTTTTAGAAAAAAATTATACCCATTTTGTCCTTTATATCCTTTTTTCTGATGCATTCAATAACTACAAAAAATAAATATATTTTGTTTCTTCATATCAAAACAAGATAGTTTTATATTCTGTAAATATGTGTGTATTTGTGTGTGTATCGTGCATGAAACAGAAATAAAACTACATTATTGTGTTATTAACACGGACAAAGAAATATAGGGACCGATAGGGACGAAGTGTAATGTGTAATGTCGCGTGGTTGAAGCCAATGAGGAGAGGGTGACGAGGTAAATTGTGCCTATTTTTGATTAGCTACCATTTGGCGCAAGCGCAATGATGCAAAATATCATGCGACATTGATAGTAAACATTTACAAAGTAAGGTTGTATTGGAAAAAGATATAAATTAAAGTTGTCATTACATTAACAAATATTTTTTGTGATTATATTTTGGAAATGAATTCATTATATCTGTCTCAACTACAGTCTACAGCTCGCATTTGCTCTGTTCACTTTGAAGAGAAATCCTTTAACAGAACATGTTCCATAACTCGACTTACAATTAGCCAAATGATAATATCATATATATATTTTATATATCATTGATAATATTTAATGTACAATTTATAATATAGCTCCTATCTGCTCACTAATAATTTCGATGTTGATGCGATCCTTAAAAATAAATTATTTACAAAAAATATCCGCTATATCATAACATTATTGTTATATCTTATGAATTAATAAAATATAAAATATTATTATTTATTTTTTTTTTTCAAAATTAATGGTACTAAGCATGCGCATAACAGTAACCAATCAAATTCAGGCACAGTATTATAGCGGATCTCCCCTCTCCATCCCCATTTTGGCTTCACACTTCTCGTCATACATACACGATTGCATTGCTCGCGTAGATGCATCACGGAGAGGAAAAATAGAAAAAAATCAACTATTATATTATTCTTGTTTCTCTAGCGTATCACTTTATGGCCGAGATATTGCCATTTTCAGGCCATATTTATAAATGATTAAGAGTCCGTAAAGAGAGCAAAGCAATTTTCTGATTTTTCAATTAAAAGATTAAACTTCGTATTTACCGGTATATGAAATTACCTTCTCGCGCATGCGCGCCGAACATGGTATTGCTAATTCTAGGGGAGTGCGAGTAAATCGAACAGACCTACTTGTTATCACCACCGTGTATGCGCGAAAAATTCGCCTATCAAATGTTTCAAAACTTCGATATTGTCAGACATAACCAATGACGTGTCGATCGAATTATGAATTTTTAGGGTTCTGGTAGTTTCTTGCAATAGCAGCCAATCAATACGCTTGACAAGATAATCCGTGGTAATATCACTCTTTCGCTATTGTAACAAGTGACGACTCCTTTGCAAAGTTATGAATAACACATCGTCTGGCTGCGTAGTTTACTTATTTACAATATATACGAGCCGATCGTGTAATTACATATAATAGAACGTTTAAATGCTTTTAGTGATGAAAAAAATATTATTGTGTTTCGCTCCTTAATAAAATTGTTAATAAATTACAGTCAAATTTTTAAGCGTTCGTTATGGCAACACCAAAATTTCCTGTGAAAGAAGCACAATTATTACGTGTGTATTTTTATATTAAGTATAACTGAGATTTGAATTTTATAAGATGTACATATATTGATGTATTATTTCAGCCGATCAACATGAATTTGTTGTGCCAAAAAAACGTATCAAGATACCGACTGATATAGCAGTTTGGCAAAAATCTGAAGCTTACTTTGTAAGAGATAATTTCTGCATTTATTTATTATTTTATATTTTATATTTATTTATTGTTTATGTTAATTTTATATTTTACAATATTATTATATTATTAGAGTAATTTACACACATAAAAAATATTTTGGTTTTAATATTCTTACATAAACATTAATATTTTTTTATGTATTTATATACTGAATTTATATAAATCTTATTTCTAGGAATACTTGGGATTTATTTTAGCATTAAATGAAGCTGTTCAAGGAAAAGCTTTGGATGCAGAGTGTCCACAATCTCCTTCAGTAAATAATGTTGTACAGATGTTAAACAAATTTGATGAATGGATAACAGAAATTCCACCTACTGAACAGCCCCAGCGATTTGGGAATAAATCATTTCGTACGTGGCACGAAAGACTGCAGCAGGTTGGTGCATCAATATTATGTTTAAAAATTATTAAGATTTAGATAATTTTAGTCTGTGACTCATTTTTTTATTACAGAATGCAGTAGACGAATTGAAGCAAGTGTTACCAGAAGAATTGCATCGTGCAATCCTAGAGATAGTTCAGTATTTATGTGAAAGTTTTGGAAATCCAACTCGTATAGACTATGGAACAGGCCATGAAATGGCTTTTCTCATGTTTCTCTGCTGCATGTTTAAGATAGGCGCATTCAAAGACGATGATAAAATTGCTGTTGTAATAAAAGTATTTAATAGGTATTTCTTATTTTTAGTAATTTGTCTGGTTTGCGATTTTATTTTTTTTTGAGGAGGATTATTTAGTTATTTAAATCGTTTATCTTTTAAACATTAAAGGTATCTTGAATTAGAACGTAGACTTCAGTTGACATATCGTATGGAACCAGCAGGTAGCCATGGTGTTTGGAGTTTAGATGATTATCAATTTATACCCTTTATATGGGGAAGTGCTCAGCTTATTGGTATCAGTCTTTTAGTAATATAATAATAAATTTTTTGTAGAATTTATTTTTTAGTATAAATTTTAATTCTTCATATATTTTATATGATGTAATATTTTAGGACATCCTCGGATAGAACCCCGTCATTTTGTGGACCAAGCTATTGTAGAATCGTACAACCAGAAATACATGTTCCTTGGCTGTATTGAATTTATTTCAAAGGTATAAAAAAATTTCATACGAAGATTCAATACTGTGTTCTTATAATGATATATGTAGGCTGTGTTCCGATATTCACAGCCAGTACTGAAAATCTATAGTTTACATCACATACACTATAGATTTTTAATATTGGCAGTGAATATCGGAATGCAGCCATTATCTGCAAAAATTAAAGAATCTACATTTTTTAACATTTATGCTTATTTTATTAGGTGAAAATAGGACCTTTTGCCGAACATTCGAATCAATTGTGGAACGTTAGCGCAGTATCCACATGGTCGAAAGTAAACAGTGGTCTTATCAAAATGTATAAAGCAGAGGTAATCTAATACAGTAATCACATATCAGACTCTATAAAAGAAAAAAAATTATCATTTTTGTTTTTCAGGTGTTGGCAAAGTTTCCTGTTATTCAGCATGTCTTCTTTGGCTCTTTATTACCATTAACGCCAATGAATGCTCCTCCAAACTACAGAGGAGATCGTCGCAATGCACCACCACCATCAGCAACATCGCAATGAAGAAAAAAAATAACATGCCTACTAAATATGTTTATTACTGTGGAACGTCTTATTACACTTCCCAGTACTTGTAATAAAATTATACGTTATTCTCATGCATTTCAACATCCCATAGTGCTTTTGCTAGCATTGAATACATTTCTTTTAGCTTATTAGAAATTTGTGTTTATTCATGATTATACAAGAGAATATTTTTATATATTGTGAGTTGTGTGATAGAAATATAAAGTTATGTTATTTAATGATACAAATTTGTTTGAGAGATATTGCATTTGATTATATTGTAGGCATAAAATAATGGATAATTTTTTGAATGTTTGCTCTCAATAAAGATATAAAATTATATTGCTTTTTCTATAATTTATTAGCATCGACAAATGTCGGTTTTTGTTCGTCTTCGATGCTAGATTGAGAGAAAAACTTATTAGAAAAAATTCCATTCTTTAGAAGAATGGCTATGATTGACCATTGTAATCCTTAATATGTATCAAAGTATATCGGTGTAAACTAGGCCAATATCGACCGCACGAAGGAGCCGTGATTAAATTGGCTATGAATTTGGAATACATCTTATCTACCAGCAAGAATAAGACTATGTCTGTTTGGGATTAGAGAGCTGAACGAATCATGAAGTATACCACAGTAATATCACTTATGTATTTCAATGATATTGAGAAAAGAAAATATATATGATATCATAGATATTTCATAGACTCCACGCAAAGCGTTTCCCATGTGCTTGAACATGCAAGAAAATTGTATTTATGTCGGGGACGCAGATGTCATTTATATTGAATATTTGATTAATTTGGCAATTATGCATAATTACCGGTAATTATTTATTAAAATCATTGGCAATTATGCATAATTAATAATTTTAGTAAATCTGATAAATTTTTATAAAACCATTTAAAAAATTTATCAAATTTACTAAAACCATTCTTTTTTTTTTTTTACAATGGTTTCATAAAAATTTTTATGAAAATAATAATCATAATAATAATCATCGATAATAACATTCTCGAGACTTTAAAAATTCTCTATTTGATAGCCAATTACGTGACATTTTATTTACCTATGTTTCTTGCTAGAAAGCTCCAATATTTTCCGATGAGTCTCATTTCTCATTATTCTAATCAATGTTCATTTCCATGGGAACCAATGTTGTTGTTTGGACCGGTGTTATCGCGCCTGCGTCACAATGGCACTGATGGGAAATGGGAAGTGAAAAGAAATGCTATGATTGAGAAGGATCGTTTTATTCATCGTTTTACTTTAACGTATACTTTTATAGAGGGCTAAAAGTATTAAATATAATTCATTACCATGTTCAAAATATCAATTTTTATATTTTTAATGAATATCGGCTACATATATTGCCAAGATATTGACATTGACAGAAATGGCTACATTGCCTATTGTCCTTGCATGGGACGTTTCGGCAATCAAGTAGATCATTTCTTAGGAGCTTTAGGATTTGCCAAGGCTTTGAATCGTACTCTACTGTTACCAGCGTGGGTCGAATTTCGTACAGGAGAAATGAGATCCGTAAGTGACACATTTCCAATATCATTTGCAACATTTGATATTGACATAGTCCAATATGCAAATTCGATTTTATTTCTAGATACAAGTACCTTTTGATACCTATTTTAACATTTCATATGTACAAAACTGCCACAAAGCATTATTGATGGAGGATTTTATGAGGGACATTGCACCGAGAGTTTGGCCACCTGAGGAAAGAGTATGTAAGTTGTAAATATATTCTTTTTAAAGAAAGTAAACTTTTGTAATAAACGCTCTGTAATTTTCCCTTAGCATTTTGTTATTCTCTCCGTACGGGAAGTAAGGAAAAGTCCTGCAACGCGAAACAAGGAAATCCATTTGGTCCTTTTTGGGATACGTATAATATAGATTTTGTTCAATCAGAATTTTATGGTCCACTCCATTATGATGTGTATCATACTGACATGAAAGTGCAGTGGCGAAAACATTATCCAGCTGCGACTTGGCCGGTGCTAGCATTCACAGGTGCACCTGGCAGTTTTCCAGTGCAATTCGAAAACAAGCATTTACAAAAATGTCTCAACTGGAACAATGATATGCTTAATAAAGCAAAAGCTTTTATAAAGGAAAAATTGCCAAAAGGTGCATTTATTGGCATACATTTGCGGAATGGAATTGATTGGGTAATTGTGCTATTATATATATATATATATATATATATATATATTATTCGTAAATTGGCTTAATTACAAAGTTCCCGCACGTAAGCTTGCGTCGCGTATCGCGGTAGCGGATATCTTGGCGTGCGCGTGTCTGGAGTCGAGTTTCGGTCGCGAGACTTACTCCTCGATCTCTCGTAACTTATCTCTGTCGACTATGTGACTTTATTTCAATAGATGCCCGTAAGGTTGTTCGATTGTCCGGTATAACTAGCGATATTAACCAGTAATACTTCTGGTGTTGAGACTGCCCGCCACTTGTTAGCGATGGGTCTTTTTATTGTGT